GCAGGGACAGGGCAGTGACAGGGCAGGGACAGGGCAGGGACAGGGCAGGACAGGGCAGTGACAGGGCAGTGACAGAGCAGGGACAGAGCAGGGACAGAGCAGGGACAGGACAGTGACAGGACAGTGACAGGACAGTGACAGAGCAGGGACAGGGCAGTGACAGGGCAGGACAGGGCAGTGACAGGGCAGGACAGGGTAGGACAGGGCAGGACAGGGCAGTGACAGGGCAGTGACAGGACAGGACAGGGCAGGGACAGGGCAGGACAGGGCAGGGACAGGGCAGGGCAGCTGCTGGGGCTGCCATTGCACACCCTGGCAGCTGCCCATGGAGAACATGGAAAGCAGGGCTGGCTGTGCTGGCCCTGCCCGCCCCTGCTGGACTGAGGGACACTCAGGAGCTGCCCTGGGGCTTCCCTGAGGGTTCCCAAGCCCACCTGCTCTGTTTGGAGCCTCAACATTGAGTGAATCCTCTAATTTCTCAATCCCCTGTGATTGATAAATTGAATTATCCACACTAACAGTTTATAAATATCGAGGTGAGCAAAGCAAGCAGTCCCAGGAGCCCTGAGTGCTCACCAAGCATTGCAGAGCTGAATTGCTGGGATGAAAAGGCAGCAGCACACACAGCACTGCCCTGGGCTCTCTGCTCAGCTCCTGGAATCCAAATGAACCCCTGGAGGCCTTTTCAGTCCATGGAGCAAGAGTGGCAAAGCAGGAGAGAACACTCCAGCACCGTGAAAAGCTGGGCTGAATCAATCAGCACCACAGCAGAGAGCAGCTGCTGAGCTCCCTGCAGAAATTAAATGTTCTTGCAGCTCAGTTTCTGGGGAGATTTTCTAATTTCTCCAGCCAGAGCACCCTCTCCTCTCCTTTTCTCCTTTTCCCTCTCACCCTGCTGAGACCTCTCTGGAAACATTCCCACTTCTCCAGAGTGACCAAGACCCAGCTGTACCAATGCCCTGGAGTGGCAGCCACCAGCAAATTCCTGTCCATCAGTCACGGTTCCTGTGCTGATCCTGTTGTGCAGCTCCTTCTCCTGCTGAGGAGATGTCAGGGTGGCTGTGAACAGGCACTGCTGTTACACCTCCAAGGAAATGTGGCTTCACTTCATGGAATCATGGAATGGTCTGGCTTGGAAGGACCTTGGAGATGGCAGGGACACCTCCCACTGTCCCCAGTGTCCAGCCTGGCCTTGGGCACTGCCAGGGATGGAATTCCATGCCAGCCCTGCCCACCCTGCCAGGGAACAATTCCTCATTGCCCAGATCCCACCCAGCCCTGCCCTCCTTCAGCCTGAGGCCATTCCCTGTGTGCTGTCCCTGCATCCCTTGCCCAAAGTCTCTTTCCATGTTTGCTGTAATCCCAGCATGTTTCCCATCCTGCTGCTCTGTCCCCACGGTGTCCAGTGCAGTGGGAATGTCACTGCTCCCTCCAATCCAGGCTGACTTCCCACATCCCACCATCCTCCCCTGGCTTTTCCAGCCCCCCTTTTGATCCCAGCCCTCATGAAATCCAGTGGAAACCTCAGGATTGATAAAAAGCAGCACAGGGCAGGGAGAACACAGTGGGAAGAGGGGAGAAAGTGGGGAAAGGGGAGGATTTGAAAGCCCAGGGCCAGGTTGGACACTGGGGCTGGGAGCAGCCTGGGATTAGTGAAAGGTGCCCCTGCCCATGGATGGGCTTTGAAATCCCTTCCAATCCAAACCTTTCCAGGATTCCCTTCACACTTAAAAACCACCACTTGTGAGCACTGAGGTCATCAGTGCAAGAGCACAAAGCCCCAACGCTGCTTTTTCAAGGCTGGGATATCTTAAATCAACAGCTGGAATGGAGTGTTTGCCCTTCCTGAGGAGATAAGGCACAGAAAGGAGCAGGGCACACATCCACAGGCAGGCATTGTTCCCTGCCCAGGGAAATGCCAGGGCTGGGCCCCACACAAGGGCACTGCTCCCTGCATCCCTCAGCTGCTCCTTGTGCAGCCAGGGGAGCAGGGACAGCAGCAGGGATTCCCTGGCAGGTGCTCCAGAGCTGGGATCAAACAGCCCCAGGCTGGCAGGGATTCCCTGGCACTGCACTAACAGCTCCCCCCTGCAGTTTTATGCAGCCCCACATTTCTCTTCACAGAGAAAAGCAAGGCACAGTTCTTCCCAAGAATATTTCTGGGTTTCGCATTCTCTGAACCTCAGAGAAAGGGAAAAACATTCTTATTATTTGCTGTGCCTGTGTTTGTGCAAAAGCAGAATGAAGCATGGAGATTGTTTACCCACAGTGATGGGGTTTGGTTTCCTTGGCCTGTCAGGGCCAGGTGTGTGTGTGA